AATCTCTTCTTACCGTGAGGAAGTGAGTCCAACTTGAGAGTCCTCTCTTTTGGTGAGGTGTCGTGAGCGCGCTACCTTGAGAGACGACAATCTTCCCGGAAGCATCTGGAAGGAGAAAGGGGGGTGCCTCTGAAGGGCCCTGGTCGAAGCACTGGGTCACGATCACCATGCCAACCCAATGGGAGTAGGTCACGCATGCGATGGCTACTGTCCATTTTGGCACTTGCTGCGCTAAGTAGAAGTCCTTCCGGGTGTGCCAGCCCATGACACACGCTTACCAGACTGTCTATAAACATTTATGGTTGGGAGTTCATTGTGAATCTGGTTGTGATCGTCGTCCTGACTGCGACGTTAAAGAATTCCTGAAGAGATGGGGGCGCTCTATAAATTCCTCCTGATCAGCCTGATCACATGGACAGGAAGGCTCGTCATCGTACGAGGGTAAATAAGAGTGGTTGGGCTGGCTTGCTCGGTAACGACTTGGGCATAGGGGTGGGCCGACAAACACACGAAGATACCGCTTGCTCATTGATGTTGTCCAATATGTTGGATTGAGGGGAGGGTAGGTTCTAATTGGTGCTCAACTGTATACACAACCATACCCACTCATCATACATCTGCTACATGGTCTTTTTGTATTTTTGATTAGTTGGTGGACAGACTGCTAACACCTCACAGACAGTTTAGATAAGGACTGTTGTATGCTACCGTAGCCAGTTCTGTCTAATGCTGCTATAAGTGAACCAATCAGAGTACATCTAGACTATGTAGACAATCTGTGTGAATATTGTAGACATGCCACTTGATCGGTACAATAGAGAACCTGTCGGACACAAATATTTTTAGAAAATTAGGTGTCGGTCAGACACATGCTGTGGTAGGATTCCTCTAGGGGATTCTAGTGCAGATAATGCTTGCCTAATTGATGAACGGGTCAGACGTCGATGAGGAGAGAATTGACGATGCTAGACTAACACGTGCAAGATCACGTAGGATCCCGCACGTGTTCCAGACCTTACAACCGGAAGACGAAGGACGGCTTCGTGCCGAGCGCAGAGCCCGTGCACTAGCAATAGCTAGGGAAACATCAAACGCTGCAGCTAGGGAACAGGCTGCAGCAGCAGTCAGGGCAGCAGCCATGACTAGCTCGGCAGCATCCTCTGCTGCGTTGTCTGAACCAATGGGACCCAGTTGGGCATGCCAACAGGGTCCACGGGTACTTCCAGTTCGTTAGGTTCTCGGCAGTCTACAAGTCAAATGGCGGGCGCGCAGTTCAGCCCGTTGACTCCTCGCAAAAGGGAGCTCAGGGAGCTCCAGCAGGTTGAAAGGATCCGTGAACAGTTGGAGAGGGACCTGAAGAAAGCTACCGATAAAGAAAGAGAGATAAAAAATAAAACAGCCAAGCTTGATACTTTAGAGGCTGACAAGGCTGAGTTAGAGGGCTTGGATGAATCAGCATTGTCTGACCAGATGAAAACACAGAAGAAGAATATGCTGTCGTTGCATGCGCACGTGGACAGCAGATTAGACTTCATGTAGAGCACTCTAGACCAGATCCTGGATGTATTGACAAGACCAGGATTCAGGCCACCAGCACAATCGCCGTTGCCGTTATCGACGATATTAGGCCCCTTTCCAATTCAAGCTAGTCCACAGCCAAGTGGTACGTCTGCAGCAGTTGCATAGACTGTTGCATCTTCTTCTTCGGGTCCAGCGGTGAGAGCTGCACCACCGTAACAACCTGTTCCTCAACAGGGACAACCCCAAGGTCAATGATATCCTAAGACCCCAATGAAACCGTCTCTTGCCTTCTCAGGCGAGAGAAAGGACGAAGAACTCAACACATGGTTGAGGACCGTCCCGGTTTGGGTGAAGGCAAAAAGGACCTTGCCTGACGATGAAGTGGTAACTGCTGCATCTTACCTCGAGGGTAAGGCAGCCAAATGGCTAGATGGTGTAGTTGTGAAGGCAGGGTACGGGCGACGCATGGCGGACTGGGCTAAGTCATTAACATTAGACCAGTTCATGGAAATGGTAGAAGCTCGATGACATAATCCACAGGAGGCACAAAGAGCCACTGATGCGTTTAACAAACTGGACAAACGAAAGTTCAAGTCGGTCAGAGAGCTTACGACTACCGTTGAGAGCCTGATCCTCGTCCCTCACATCAACTATAGTGACCAGTTCCTGTTAACAACCTTTGTTAGATGTCTTCCTGAGAACATTAGGAACTTGCTGGCCATCGAGGCACGCCTCGAGTACCATTCATTTGAGACATTGTCTAGGAAAGTATTAGATTTGGAAGCCACACTAGACAATGCTCAACCCACTCAGAATGACACGAAGAAAAAGAAGAGTCCTCAGGAGTGGAAGAAGAAGGGGGCTAAGTTGATGATGGTGGAGTCCGATGGGACTCAAACTGAGATCGACGAGCTCACTGACATGATGGACTATACAGAGTTTGACGGCGAAGAGGTAGCTGAGGGTAGCACCCTCGCCGCGGTAGTCAAGACTAAGGCAGGTGGCCGAGGGAAGGGCCAACCTAGGAGTCAAGGGAAGGCCGCCTCCAATCAGTCCAAAGTAGCTGAATGGGTGAAGGCAGGTCTTGATCAAGACGTGTGGCGTGACCGCCGAGTGCGTGGCGCTTATATCAATTGCGGGGAATACGGACACTCGCAGTACAAGTGCCAGAATGCAAAGGTTACGCAAAAGATAGCTCTAAAGATGGGGGCACCTTATTCCCAGGCTTTTAGGTCGGGAAACGCGTGAGGCCAGTGGAAGTTTTAGCGGCTTCTACTCAAGATGACGTGGGCTTGATACCCTCCCCACTTCATGACAAGGCCAAAGCTAATGACTCCTTAACCACCCCGCAGACACAACTAGACAAAACTATGCTCATTATGTTAGATGTGTCTGAGGCCTTAGAAGACTTAGAAGGAGAGTGGTCAAACAAGGACCCTCGCGAGTCTTGGGTGGCACTGAAGAAAGGTCCTAGAGGGGAACATTTCGTGGTGGAAGTGGATGTAGGAGGCCGCAAATGTGGTGCCTTCATAGACATCGGATCCACGCGGAATTACATAAGTCGGGACTGTTTGAAAAGGCTGCACCTACAGGACCGGGTACGGCACCTTAGTAGACCTGTAGCATCTACTTTGGCCAACAAGGAGTGCATGATAGTAATAGACTATATCAAGGACGTAGTCTGTACCTTCTCCTATGGAGGAGGCGAACTTAATCATAAGATTTCGTTCTTGGTTAGCGACGACTTACCATTCGACATGTTGTTAGGCATGTACTACCTCGAAGTTGCTAAGCCACAGTTTGACTGGGATAAGAAGGTGCTAAAACATAAGTTGCCCGATAGCCGAACTGTCAGATTGACGAAGTTCAAGGCCAGTAGTATTATAGATACCTATGACTGCTTGTGTGCATCAGCGTTCTACAATTACTATAAGCAAAACCAAAAGGAAGGTATGTACCTTGTGTATGTCTCTGAAAAAGGGGAGGTCGTTAAAACACCCCTAGAGATAGAATGCGTCGTTGCTAAGTTCCCTAATCTGTTCGAAGAGCCCACAGGAGTTATTGAAAGGGAAGTTGTCCACGCTATAGAAACCATTCCAGGGAGTAAGACCCCAAAGGGAAGGATCCATAGGATGGCTCCCGCCGAGTTAGATGAACTTCGGCAACAGCTTAAAGGGCTGACAAAGAAGGGATGGATTTAAACTAGTACTTCCCCTTACGGATCACCCGTTCTATTCGTGCCGAAGAAGGGAGGTACTTTGAGGATGTGCATTGACTATAGAGGCCTCAATGCCATCACAGTGAAGAACAACGAGCCTCTACCTCGCATAGATGAACTATTGGATAGGGTGCAGGGATGCAAGTACTATAGTAAGATAGACTTGAAATTCGGATATCATCAGATCGCAATAAGACCTGAGGACCAACACAAGACAACCTTTCGGACTAGATACGGTCTGTATGAGTTTGTAGTGATGCCCTTTGGTCTTTGCAATGCGCCGGGTACATTCGAGCACGCTATGAATCGGATCTTCCATGACCATTTATATAAGTTTGTCGTGGTATACCTTGACGACATTATGATCTTTAGCAAATCTGTCGAGGAGCATGCAAAGCACGTTGAGACTGTGCTCTCACTCCTGCGACAACACAAGTATAAGGTAAGCTTAGATAAGTGTGAGTTCGGTCGCACTAAGATACTATACTTGGGGCATGAAGTATCCGCGGAAGGGATTAGGCCGGAGGATGCGAAGGTGGCTAGTTTTCGAGACTGGCCACGACCTCAGACTGTCACTGAGGTCAGATCTTTCTTAGGAATGTGCGGCTACTATAGGAACTTCGTAAAGAACTATTCTACAGTCGTCTCTCCTTTGACTCATCTAACTCGACTTGACACGCCGTGGGACTGGAATGATGAGTGCAAGGGTGCTTTCAAGAGATTGAAGCATGCACTCATGAATCATGAGGTTCTCATGGTTCCCGATCCTCATAAGCCATTCATAGTGACCACTAACGCAAACCAATACGGCATTGGCGCAATGCTGGGTCAACAGGATGGGAAAACGTTGAGACCGATTGAGTATATGAGCAAGAAGATCCCATCAAAGAAGTTGGCAAAGTCCACCTATGAAAGGGAACTCTATGCTCTATATAAAGCACTTGTCCATTGGAGACACTTCCTATTGGGAAGGTTCTTCTACTTGAGGACTGATCATCAGACCCTCAAATGGATCAAGACTCAACCGGCTCTTTCTGATGCACTCAAGCGATGGATTGAGGTCATAGACCAGTATGACTTCAAGCTTGAGTATCTGAAGGGAGAGTATAATAAGGCTGTTGATGCGCTATCACGTAGAGTAGACTACCTAGGTGCGCTAGTTTCTGACTTTGGCGTATCTGATGAAGTAACTCAATCGTTGGTGGGAGCCTATCAGGAAGTCCCTGTCACGATGGACATCATTCGCAAACTTCAGGCAAAAGACAAGGCCGCGGAAAGTGAGTTTGTGATGGTGGACGGGCTCCTCTATCTTGATAAGGCCGGAATAAAAAGATTAGTAGTTCCATCTAGTGAACCTTTGCGTAGTTTGTTCTTAGGAGAATGCCATGACGCAACGGGACACTTCGGCTACAAGAAGACGAGTGCTAACCTAGTACAACGATTTTGGTGGCCAGGAATGTTAGATGATGCAAAAAAGTACGTAGAGACCTGTCAGGTCTGTCAGCGGGACAATCCGTGAACTCAAGCACCGCTTAGGTTGTTGAAGCTTTTGCCTATTCCTGGTGGTCAAGGACAGAGTGTTTCCATGGATTTCATGGACACCCTGGTGACTAGTAAAAGTGGCAAGAGGCACATCTTCGTCATCATCGATCGATTCACTAAGTACGCTAGACTAGTGCCTATGCCAGAGACCGCAAGAACTGACTATGTCATCAAGTTGTTCAAAGACAACTGGGTGCGTGACTTTGGTTTACCAAAGTCAATCGTTAGTGACCGAGATGTCTGATTCACAAGTGAGTTGTGGAAGAAGACTGCAAAACAGATGGACAGTCAACTTCAGATGACTTCAGGGAATCATCCTGAAGCCAACGGACAAGCCGAGCAGATGAACAAGGTTGTACAACACTTGCTGAGGCATTACATCAAGCCCAGCCAGGATGATTGGGATGAGCAGTTGCCTCTCATTGCCATCCTATACAACAATGCTGTCCACAGCAGTACCGGCGTTAGTCCAAATCGACTTCACTTGGGATGGAAGCCTAAATCTGCATTAGACTTCCTCCTACCTAAAAACCGACACGCTGCAACTCCAGGCACACTTCAGTACGGTGTGCAGTATGAGAAGTTGTTGCAAGAAGCTGTCGAGCACATGAAGAAAGCTCAGCAAGCAATGATTGCTTTTGAGAATCAACACCGTAGACAGTCCACATTTCACGTAGGGGAACGTGTCTGGGTCAAGGCTAGTGATTTAGGACAGGAATTCGGAATCTCTCGTAAACTAATGCCTCGGTACTTTGGTCCCTGGGAAGTCCTGGATATAGTGGGAGATGAGATGGATGGCCCCACATATGTCATTCGTGTCCCTAGACACCTACGCACTCACCCAGTCTTTCATGCCTCAAAGCTTGCACCTTTCGCTGAGACAGATCAATTCCCTTCCAGGAGATCGATGTTGCCCCCAACCATAAATGGTCAAGTGGACATCGACGACATTGTGGATCACCGGGATATGCCTGTTCTGAAGCCGCTGGGTCGAGGAAGACCCCCTAAACCCAAGAGAGAGTATCGCGTCAGATTCAGGCATCATACGGATCCAAAAGAAGATTGGTGGTTTACCAGAGAGGAACTGATTGAGACAACTCCTCAGGTGGTGGCAGAATATGAGAGACTGCTGAAAGGGAAGGCACCTGCGAAGTAAGCATCTCAGTGGAGTTTCGAAGCTAAGGGGGATGGAATGTGAGGAATGAGCCCTCAAGAAGGGGCCTTGCCATGATGTACATGTTCAGGGCTAAGGCCCCAGCAAGCCTAGTGCCCGCCCTAAGCGAAGGCAGACCAACAAATCAACAAGAGCCCTTTGTGCAAACATTTCCCGAAGTCGGGTCCATACAGTTGCAGCACGCCAATTGGTTGAAGTGCACCGAGTCTCGAATCTCCACAAATGTGGAGACCCCAGGGCCTCTGAGTTAGTTAGGCCCTGGGCACTTGAATGTGAGGCCGACAATGCATGCTGGGTATAGAGGCCGAAAATGCCGAAGGGAAATCGGCCCACTATCTGAATCTAACCGCAGGCCTTGATGAAAGAGGCGCAACTGCATTGCTCCGAGCCTCAACTGTATAGGGCTGGGTTCAACCACTGGGGCCCAGTCGCAGGCTGAAGGGAGGCTGCCCACACGCAACACTGACATATAGGCAAGCAGGGCGAGTGGGCGAGGATCTTGGCGAATGCGAGCATTGCCGGCACGTTGCACGAATGCGAGCTGCTACTGCGCTGCGCTAAGAAGAGGTGCAAGGCAGGCAGGCGCTAGGTGGTAGGGCGTTGCCTGTGCACTGTACGCTGGCGGCCATAGCCGGGCTGCATAGGGCGCAGGGGAGGTGATGGCGAAGGTGGTTCTTCGGAGGTGAAGGGCGCTGTGTGGGTAACAAGGGAGAGTGTGGGTGAAGAGGACACATACCTGGTGGAGGTGGAGGTCGACATTGATGTTGACATCATCACTCGCTGGTAGTCAAGTTGTCTGGTTGCTTTCAATACTGTAGTTGTAGGCTTAGTTTGTAGAGTAGATAGGGCGCCTTGCGCCATTCATGAGAGAGAGTTACATTGGGTTATGTTGTTGGTGTTGCCCTGTTGGGCATGGACATTGACTCACGATTCTTCTGTATCATTCTTAATTGGATGGTTACTCGGCTCCATTGTGCTATTTGCTCTGGCTTTGACTACTTGGACTTCAGTGTGATTTTGCATTCTGGATTTCTGTGCTTCGTCCACATTCATGTTCCTTGCAGTTCTCAATTGGCAAGTTCATGCGTGTTATAATATCCGGTTCATACTTAGTTGATCTTTTACTTTGGGATGGATGACCGACATTTGGTTGCTACTACGGGTGATGACTTGATTAGGTTTATAAATCTTTTGTCTCTCTCCTTCCCCCTCCCTTTTTTTCTCTTTCTCCCTCTCTCTCTTCTCTCTCTCTCTCTCTCTCTCTCTCTCTCTCTCTCTCTCTCTCTCTCTCTCTCTCTCTCTCTCTCTCTCTCTCTCTCTCTCTCTCTTCCCTCTCTACCAATCTTTCTCTCCTCGTTCACTTTGCTTCCCTCTCTCTCTTCCCCTCACTTGGCATATGACTAACCCTTTTCCCCTCACTTGGTACATTGCCAGGGTGCGAACGGTAAAAAGAGATCAGACCTCACTTGGTGGAGAAAGAGGGCAAGGTGAGGATAGTCGGTCCCTTGCGCCACCAAGAAGGCAAAGGAAAGGACGGTTGAGAAAGTGGAAAAAAGAGGCGGAACCCGAAAGAGAGTATAAGTGAAAGCAAGGTCAGTTTGACTCAACCATTTCCCCGACTGCATGACTATGAGAAGAGAATAGGCTAATTGAGCAACGAAAGAGAACAAAGAGCGGCCAAAGAGCTTGAAAAGATAGGCATGTGGGAAGGGCTATGTGTTGACCCCCACGGGGGGATTGTATGGGTCTTTGCCTTGTGTGGGATTGTGCAGGTGAGTGATGACAAAGGATACGTTGAGCGGGATAGGGCTGGGAGGAACCGGGCACCAAGAGGAAAAGGGAAGAGGGACAAAGGGGCTATGGGACCCTTAGCATAAAGCCAGCCCATGGAAATGATCTTTGTGTTTAAAATTTGAAGTGTGAATGGAGTACAATCTTGCTAAGGGAAATGTGATGTTGTGTGTGCATGCATATAAAGGCCTCGAAAAGACTAAGGGGCCTGCCTCAACGGAGTTGAAAGAGATGTATGAGGCGCAGTCTGTGCATAGAGGCGAGGGGGAGGACGGCTCCACCGCACCCTGATGACGCCATAGGTACACAAGGTTTAGGGAAATGGTGAGTGGCCTGAGGATGACGCTTAGCCTGCTCACAAAAGGAAGAAAACTCTCAAAGAACCCCTGGACTGCCTGTGTATTGGAAGGAGCAATTGCTTGAGAACACAACAAAGAATCGAAAAAAATCAGCGTTACGGAATGACCAGCGAGACTACCACCCGACGTGAGGGTTGAGCTACATCCCCAATGTCAAAGCTCTCTCGCGCGACGGCCCACCCCCATCCATCTCAAAGCACTCGGTAAGGGTGACCTTGGGACGAACGGCCCGCGCCATGAGCATGAGCGTGGGCGGGCCGAGCCAACTAGGACCCGCAGTGGGGTCGACTAAGGCTTGAAAGTCTACCGGGGTTTGGCCCTACAACGGGTGAAGGAGCCACCAGAGGCTACATATCCGAAAGAAAAGGAAAGTGAGGAAGGAGCCTCAGAACAATGATAGAAGACAATGACCGGTACGACCGAGTATTCCAATGATAAGTTCTCCTTACATGTTGTGGGAAAGTTAGATGGGTCGCTGGCTTGTGTGGTGATGCACGTAGAGCACCTAGCGAGACTTAGTGTGATGGAGGAAGCAGAGTGTACTCGGCGAGCGGTGAGGGAGGCGCGAATGACCGGGCTCCGGGTAGGAGTTGAAAACGGCCGTCTGATTAGATACATATTGTGTGTGACTCCTTTCGATGGGTCACCCTTGTCTAGGTCGTGGCACGAGACACAGAGAGAGACTTAAAGACTCCTAGAAGGGGAGGCCAGGAGGGCTGAAGAGTTAGCGAGAGTGATAGATGACGACACTGTTCTCAGGATACTCTTGGCACATAACCGATACTAGAAGGAGTTTATTAAAACTCTAGAAGACATAGAAGATTTTGGAGACAACGATGATTTTAAGTTTTTTATCTAGTCTTACGAGCATCTGCGGATAGGATGTTAGTGGCACTTGCCTTAGCTGACTTAGAATGTTAGGCGACGTTTAAATGTGGCGCGAGAGATGAGCTTACCTGAGGAGGAGTTAGCCCGAAGGAGACGGAAGTTTGCGGGATGGAGTGGACCCTGTGATCCTGAACATGAGAACGTACTGCAAGGCGTGAGCGCAATTAGCAGGCGGGAGATCTTCCCATATGAGGTACTCAGGTACCTGGTAGCAAACAGTGGTTGGGACAAGAATCAATTTTATGTAATTACCGTACACTTTCCTGACTTACGAGTACATCACATAGGTATATACTTACCTAGGGAGTGCGCAAAATTCTGTGTTTACACGAGGTGTTGGAGAATAGCCGCGTGGAAGTTGAGGGAAGAGATGAAGAGATTGGAAGGTCTGCGATGACATCTCGACTTTTGACGGCCTGCCTAAGCCACCGATTCCAGACAGAGGATTAGAACGGAACGGATGGGAGGTGGTAGTAGACTTTGCTAGGATGGTCGGAACGAGGGTCCGAAGAAATCGGCAGGAAGAGAATAGGATGTGGGGATGCCTGAAGAGAGAAATATCTCTGGTCGCGAGCTCGTGTTGAGGAGAGAGAGGTTTCTTGCCGGAAACAGACCATCCGAGGAGAGACTAGCGACTATCTGTGGCCTGTTGAGTTCGCTAGGGAGGAGAGAAGTAATTCCGTATAAGGTAGAGAGGTACGACCCTCTGGATAGCGGATAGGAGGAGATACATCTTTATGTGATGACCGTCAGGTTTATCCATGTAGACATGTATGATGTAAGGATTTACCTACCTAGGGAGAGATAAGTAGATCTTGTATACGGTAGATGTTCGGACTGCGTGGAAGAGGTTGTAGAAGGCGAAAGAGATAAGTTACTAACTCTGGCAAAGAACGTTATCTGGGACACTCGGATAACGGTCTTTGAAGGGCTTCCTAAACCTCCGACTCCGTGTAATATTACGCAAGAGGGAAACTACGAAACCATAGTGGAGCTTGCCTTACGACATCAGGAGTTTGATGGCAAGAGGAGATGAGTACCCGCTAGCAGGAGCCAACGTCGTACGGCGAGGGTTGAGCGACTTGGAGAGGAGGATATCGATCGATCCGTAAGAGCGCTTGCGTGCTTGCACTCGTGAGGAGTTCTGGACTATAGGGAGCGCGATTTGTAGGGGAGTCAGGTGCCCCGAGACAGGAGTGTTAGAGGTCAGGAGAGGTGTTGCCTGTATAGAAAGACAAAATGGGTGACTTTTCCTTGACACGGGGGTACTAGATATTGAGGGAACACATGAGATCCGAGATGAGAGCGGAAGACTGACGGTGATTTTGAGGGCTGTTGAGAACTAGATTTAGGTATTTAGAGATCGACAGAACTGGTTCTGATATTAAGTCCGGGCTGTCGGCTCTAACATTAGGTCCGGGGTGCCGGTTCTGACATTAGGTCCGGGTTGCCGGCTCTGACATTAGGACCGGGTGACCGGTTCGGACATTAGGTCCGGGCTGCGCGTTCGATTGTTAGGGACGATAGGATCCCTATATAAACGCGAGCTAAGGAAGGAAACAGAGTATATGGAGTCTGATATAATGGGTCCGCACCCGAGTGTGGATCAACAAGCTGGGTCGTATTGGGCATCGCCCGACCGTGCTCTGAGGGGTCTCAAGGAGCGTATCCGACGGAATGCTCCATTGAGATGTGTAGAGCAACCCGACGACGGGAAGCCCGAGGTGATGGGTTGTCCGGTCGTCGCAGAGCCAGACAAGGTCACCTCGGTGGTACGGATGGAGAGTAGAACCGAACCTCCTAGTATCCATTGGGAGATGAGCGCTCGATGCTCTCCTACGTATGAGCGGAGAGACGCCGGGCGTGATAGAGGCAGAGATGACTGGAAAGATCACTAGGTCCGGGAGCAGGCCTGCAGAGACAGGGATAGACCCCTGGAGAGGAGCACGTCACCTAGACGGATCTACGACCCACAGACGGGGGAGTCGTATATGCTTCCATACGAGAGGAGGGATAGGTACATCATTTCACACCATCCCTCGGAGTTGGACACTAGAACACCCATTTTCAAGGGATACGACATCACCGAGTATCTCAAGAAGTGGGAGTTGCACGCGTACCGAGATTTGGAAGACAATGGTCGGAGGACAAAATGGTCGGAGGACAAAATTATAGACAATTTCTTGTTCAACACGGACTCGACTTTGAGTCACGTTATCAAAGAGGCTCGACCAAAAGACGGGAGGTGGACTACCTACAAAGCCAGCCTTTATTAACTCTTTAAGCTGGAAGACGTCAAGTATTCGATCCGAGATTTGGAAGTGATGACCCAAGGTGAGGACGAGAGTGTCCAAGCATTTGGAAGACGGTTCCAGAAGATATCCGATGCCCTGATTGCGAAAGGGAAGCTGTCGGAGGTCGAGAGGTATACGATCTTTCTTGGTCGACTACCTAGAGGGAAGCAGAAGGGAGTTCTGAGAGAGATGCCTCACGACAAGATAGATTTTGCGCTGGTACTCAAGTTAGCAATGAAGGCTGAGGCAGACGAATACAAGGACCTAGTCTGGAGAGGAATGAAGCGTCGGGACTTCTTCCTCTATCGAGAGTACGATGCGGACAGGTGTCCTGACTTTAACGATCAACCTTGGGCAGAACGACGATATTTGTTGGATGGGGGTCGAGCACAGCGGCCCACAGACAGAGAGGCGGTGATAGATGAGGTGAGAGAGATGAGAGAAATGATGAAGGGACTGGCCAGGCAAATGATCAATATCGAGACAAAGACAGGGGCCACGACTTAAAGAGACAAGCCAGGGTCGCCATATTCTTTGCGATGGGACCGCAGGAACACTGACCCTTGGAGGAACATGAGGGATAGAAACCCTCGCACATTCGTGGACTATCGCGCAAGAGAGAGAGACGATAATGCCTGGCGACGTAAGGATGAGGAAATTGATAGAGACCGCCGAGGTGACAGGTACCGCAGAGTGGACACCTTTAGCCGAGTGGGGAGGAAGGAACAGTATTCCCATTGTCCCAGATATGATGGAAACGTGGAAGGATACCGGAGTCCAGACAATTTCAACCCGAGAGACAGAGATGATTCCCGTGGCCGATGGGAATCGGACAGGAACCGCCGGGATGGATATCGTGGCGGCTACGAGAGGGCAGAGCGAAGTGGAGGTCGTCGGGACGATTCACGCGGGCAATATGACCGAGGGGGATATCATGTTTCTCCTGGGTAGCCAAAGTCTCCAAACAATCCCAAATCCCCTAGACCTTCCACCCCAGACGTCAGACCTACGAGAGGGCCAGCTATTAGGGGTGCGGAGGAGAGACCCCCTACTCCTAGGAACTCCTGCATCTATTGTAGGGGGAAAGATCATGTCAAGAAGGACTGTCCGGACCTCAGGAGAGCTATCGATGAGGGGTTTGTCGTGCTTGATGAACGCAAGTACGTCAAGTGGGCAGACGATTTAGGTGACGTATCGATGTTCCCTTCGATGAAGGAAAATGTTGAGGCTAGGCGTGTGCGGCCGAGCAAAGGGAAGGAGACGGCGAAGAGTCAGAGTGTCAGGATGATGCTTCCCTCTAAAGATGAGTTGCGAACCACGCCCATCTGAGTCGCGACAACGAAGTCCGCAAGGGCTTCATCGTCGAAGAAGGCAGACACAGACTATGTAATGGCAGAAAAGGATGGACAGAGGATTGAAGTTATACTTACGCCGCGCAAGTGAGGGGCACGGAAGTTTACCATGAAGAGCTCCTTAGACGCTATCGATACAGTGGAGCCTCTCAAACGGGCGCTTAGGCAACCGATGCAGTGCACAATACTTGAGTATTTGGCTGCTTCGAGACCTGCGCGATGAGCTTCAGATGATTACACGCAAGACGCACATTCCTCTGGGAGACGGAGTCCAGATGACTTTCAAGCCATAGGTACCCACTTTGACAATATCGGGAGTGAGCGCTAAAGTCGAGCGCGCGCCCACAGTTTACTTGGATGGAATGGAAGGAGTGTCACCGGACAAGTTTTACATTATAGGGACTAGGATTGTGAAGACCATTCTCAATGATGAGATAGTCCTCCAAGGGGTGATTGGCAATGGCAGTGAAGTTGTCATCATAAACGAGAAAATCACCGTACGATTAGGTTTGAACCTAGACACGTCCTATCTGTTTGAGATAGAGACGGCTGATGGGGGAAAGCAGAAGATCTCTGGAGTCTGCCACAAGGCGGCCATCGAGGTCGAAGGGTTGCGCGTGCTAATGCCTGTCTTCGCGGTCAGGGATTGCAGCTCAGAGCTACTACTAGGAAGGACGTGGCTGAGCCATGTTCATGCGGTTACTCTAGAGCGACTGGATGGAAGCCAGATGCTTTTTATTAAGCATCCGGATGGCGGGCGGATTGTGATAGAGACAGTCGAGCCCCGTGATCCGAGGAACAGAGCGGCCCTAGCAACTGCTGGCAGCCGCAAGCCGGCCACGCTCGCGACTCGCTCTCCGCGATTCCGTGAGAAGAAGTATGGGGCATTACTCACAGAAGAGGAGTGGCGCATAGTAGAAGTCGAGGACTTAGGTAATCGCGTTCTTGTGGGAGAAAACTCCTATCCTAAGGCTGAAGACGAGGAATTCGGAGGTATGATCTCTGTGTCTTTCTTAAGGGCGTAGCCCCCTACGGGGGGCGACAAAAGAGATGCAAGACAATAGCTCAGAAGGTTAAAACGGCGGCAATAACTCAGGAGCGATCGTCGCTAGCCGGGGTATCTAAAGAGGAGATTGTTGGGGAGATTAAGGAAGGGAAGAAGAGGGAGTCGCAATGGTTACCAGAGAAGAGGATAGTGGAGATGGACATAGGTGACGTCAATTTGACAGAGCAGGAAAAGGGGCACGTACAGGAGAAAGTTAAGACTTGTGACAAGGCCATAGCCTTTAGCGACTCGGAAGCGGATGCGGTGAGTGACAGGCATCGTTGCCCTTGGCTTCGGTGAGCGGTAGGCGACCCCTCCCCGGGTTTCCTCACAACGGTACACAAATTTGGATATGCCACGGTACGCTGGTCGGGTACGGACGGTATGGTTACTAGGACAACATTGGTACAAACTATTACAGTTCAATGTTGAGATGACTGGTGGGGCCATTGAGACGGTGGCACGTGGTCACTGGTTCAGATTGGTACAGTCCTTGGTTCAGCATCAACATGTTACTGGGACAAAATACTACAGACTGGACCACGGTACGGTAATAGATTGCTGCGGTCTTCGGTCCGATCTGCAACGATTGCGGTACTCTGGTTTGATGGTACTAAGCTTTTCTGCAATTCGATACAGGTACGGTACATGGATATTTACGGATACAGTACTGCAGGCTGGTTCAGGGCGGCAGAGGACCACTAATTTTGGTACAAGGTACAGCGGCCGTACAAGTTGGAATGATATTCGGCTGCCAGTACTTCCGGAAGGAGCCTCCAGGTCTAAAACCCTGGTACCGCGGGTACGGACGGACCCAGTATTTGAGAAGGCTTGGTCCTTTACTCCTGGCGAAGCCACAGTCCAAAGGGAATATAGAGGAGACCAGCGGGGCACATGGGAGAGGTTTGGCATTCGGTGTGTCAGGTGTACGCAGCCCGCCTTTGAGCTTGCTTCAGACACACGCGACTGGGCGACGGTCAACGGCAAAGGGATAAGTGATAGAGGCAGTGTGAAACAGAAGGGGAGGTTAGCGTGCTAGGCGTGCACAGCGAGCACAAGCTGAGCGAGAAAGGGATGTGAACGGGACAGTCTGGTACACAACCTCTAGGAACGGTTCGGTGGAGGGGGAAGACTTCTTAGATGCGTGTCAGGCGTACCCAGCGTCGGGGCAGTAGACTGGAGAGCTGTAATGCTGAGGGAGAGAACGATCGGATTAGCGAGTGAGCGGGTAAGGCATATGGGGCGCACATAGCCAGATAGACGGAGGCCGTGACTGACCAAGCGCCACCGGGAAGGCACTGCAGGCGACGCTGGGATAGTAAAAAAAGGTCTTCACGGAGGAAAGAATGCATGAACGGGCTTGGTGGGTCGAACTGGCGGATGCGGTAGATCAGTGAAACGACCACACTCACCAAGCAGGCGACCGCTATCCGAGGCTCGATCAGCCTCGGGTGTTGTTTCAGAGGACGAACTGACTACAGGATTGCCATTTCGGTAATCGAGAACAACGCTGGTGTCGTTAGGCGAAAGCGCGACTTGCAATGCATCTGAATGTGGAAGGCTCTCAAACCCGAGCTTTCCAGTCAGGCTGGACGGAGAGAGAGAAGAGAGATGACAATTAGTTAGAGAGAGGACAATATCGAAATAAAGGAAAGCGAATGTGGAGGGGAGAAGCGGCATAGATATGGCAAGTCAGTGAGTGTGTATCCGAGAGTGGGGTCCGCGCTCTGAGCTGGGGGTTTGATCAGCCCGCTGACCTTTACGGGAACGAAACTGAGGAATGACAATCTATTTCCCCTGAACACGCCCAGACTGGGGATGATTTTCTGACTTCCCCGGGTCACTCAGAATCTAGCCTGCAGAATGAGCTCTTGAGATATCTGGAGTCGAGGCATCGGACTAGCCTATTGGCTCTCGTTGGATCGGACCTGCAGATAAGTTTCCCGGGATACTTCGAACCGAGCGTGTAGACTGGCACAGTGGCCTCATCTGGGAAGAGTTGTCAACCAGCACCCGGATCGACTCGGGATCGAGCTCTTCGAGTTGCCTTTGAGCCTGGTTCGGCGAGAGACCACCCGCTGATTGGCCTGACGAGCATGTGAGAAGGGAAATTACTGATTGAATGGAAGTCGGGCTTCTCTAGGAACAGGGTCTATTGAGATATCGACTTGATGGCTGGTATAGTTGGCTCCTCTAGGAACAGGGTCTATTGAGATTGTTGGTCGGCTCTTTGTCACTGCTAAGCTTGGGCAGGGATCAGGTACAGACTGAATTTATCGAAACGATTGACTCGCAGTTGTTTCATCCGCGTAACCTCCCCATATGTTTACTCCTTTCTATTGTTTGTTTATTTCAATTTTCTAAAATCTGTTCTGCCAGAGCTTTCCGATAATGGAGCAGCTTCATATGAAGGGGAAAATGACAGCTTCCCACGTGCGCTGAGCTATGTCTGTTCAGAGTGCCTGTCCATGTTTCTATGCAAACTTGTATAGGAGCGCAGGGAATCCTCGAGTTGGTAGGTACCTGCCGCCGAGCTGGCAGGGTTCCTACTAAACAATTGGTCCATTCACTGATTGACTGCGATTGCAGTACGTAAAGATTTTGCGATCCGTCGAGAGCTGAGGCCCAAGAAACAGTTTTGCTCTTAAGTGTGTATTCCTGACTTTACTTGCCCGACAACAAACGCGCAACGTCTGGGTGAAAGGAGGTTGTTCTTGTCTCCGAGAGTGGTAAAACGATTATTCAAATTTTGCTATTTTGAATTTAATTACCCATGCTATTGCGACAACAAAGGCGGAGTGAGATCGCCTGACTCGAAACGTGGGCTACGCTTAATCTACTGCAGTAGGTTTGCGTTGATATTCAAGGTGAAGCGTACGACGACGGCGGAAAGATCTCTCAGCGAAAGACGCTATAGCTGTCACTTGAGTAAATAAAAATCTCTTGACATTTGGGTAACCAGCAGAAACGGGGAATGAGGCGAATTAAGCCTGGATAAAAGGGAGTGAGGGCAAGTGAGAGGGGCACTGACCCGAGCCTTGATCAACTCTGTTTTATCCTTTTCCCTGATTTAGTATCCCTCAACATGATTGTATGTATTGTTATGTGGGTGTGTGCTTCGTCAAAGAATTGATCGGACTATCAACTGGCAAATAGCGAACGAATGTGCAGTTCAATCGAAGAGGGATAATTTGAATGCTCTGCTGCATTTTGGGAAGCAAATATTTTAATTAAGCAAAATAATTTCACCTGTTTTCGTGCTCTAATGATGGTATAAAATTCCCCCGAAAAACGGGAATATGACAGGCATATCTGAAAGGACACCCCACCGGTCGCTGGGGACCTCGAAAGCGGGCGCGGCAAGTGACAGGCGCCGTAGCCCTTGGCTTCAGCGAGCAGCAGGCACCCCCCCGGGGTTTCCTCACAACGGAGCTCTCCCGAGATCTTTGTAACGGGGTACCTACCGAGCCACCTTCTCAGATCGTCCCCCTCGTCCCGCCGAAACGACTCTATCTCCTCTTGGAGATATCGCTCGCTCCAGTCTAAAACATCGCACGATCCCGAGATGACAAGAGATAGAGCCGCCTCCTTTGCGGCTTCAGCGCTCAAGTACAAAAGCGCCTTCACGTCTTCCCTGCGGCCTTGTGGAAGGAGACTACCCGTATATCTGAACGCGTCATACTCTCGGTAGATCCACAAGCACATTCCCGGCCTAACGAGTATCGATCGCCACCCGGAGCTGCTGTCATCCTCGTGGATGGGTCGAGAGGGAAGGGTGAACTCCACTAGTTTTCCCTCCACTAACTCCGGGGGATCATACCCCCACCTCTGGTCTACGGCGAGGAACTCCTCCACAGTCGTAGGCTGCCATATCCACTTCGTCGCCCTATGAATGTGCCTAGGCTCTGACCGCGACGCCTATCCTTGGAAAGTGAGTGCCGGCGACATCGTCCTCCCCTCCAGACTCAGCGTCTTCCAGGGCGGAGTCTACCCAATCAGGCTCCCAGGCCTCCTCGTCGTCGTCGTCGAGGTCCTCCACCACACGATACTCAGGCACCCCTATATGCACGTTGTCGACTGGTAGAAGGGGTGTGCCGACACGCCGTTCAAAACCCTATGCCTCGCGCCGCGTCTGTCACCCACTGGAGGGTTGGTCGGGGCTCCTGTAACCTGCACAAACCTCGTTAGTTCGTATCCACGCAAACAAAGACCGTAACAGACTCAAGACAAATGCGCGAGCAGCACACAAGTCACCATCTTGGCAAAAATAAAACAATCGTTTCCATTCAGTCCAGAATTATACAGTTCACGACACTGCTTCCTGCCTTAAATGCGCGAGCAGCACACAAGTCACCGTCCTGGCAAAAATAAAACAATAGTTTCTATTCAGACCAGAATTATAAGGTTCACGACACTGCTTCCTGCCTCAGGCATAAGTTTCGTCCCTGACTCTGGAAAGTCAGTCTGAGTGCCAATCGATCTAGTCAACAGCGTGGGTCTAATTCTCCTCCCAATTGGATGCTGCCTATACCGTGCTCGGCGATCCCAAGGAACCGTGCTCGAACTCTCAGTATCTGAAGTTGCCTCTCTCGTCCACTGGGGCCAAAGCTCGAGATCCACCTTGACCATTCCTTCCTGCTATCCAGTCGTCACTCGTCGCGGAGGTCTGTGATGTGTCGTGGCTCCTCCAAGTCCCCGCCCGCTAGCTCCTGACCAAAAACCCTGGTACGCGACCCTCTCAAAGGTCCAACCCCGTGTGCTTTCCTCTTCGGATGACCCAACCCACAAAGTATCTCCTCAGAAGGCCCGGTGTCGGAAGACGGTGCGGCGCAGCAGCGGAAAATGACTCGCCACGGTCAAACCCCGCGCTGCGTCAAAATCGCCCCGAGGGACGCCCACGGTCATGGTCAAGCTGGACCCTAGCACATCGATTACATTTCCCCTAGGCCAAAATTGAAGGAAAGACGGCGCGGCGGTACGGTTCCCTAAAGACCTGAATCGTGCCCGTTGGAATGGACCGACGCAACCGCAATAGGCCAATTAGTGGGAT